CACACCATGGAATGATGATGATGTATGTCTGGTCTGCATGGCAACATTGATTGTTCGGATCATTGGTATTTAAGCCTTCCGCTGTGCTATCTTGTGTTATGTGAGAGAGGTCGGTTCTTGTTCTGGTCTGCACCGTTACGGTATGCGACAAAAAGGCTTTTTCACCTTGCAGACCCCAAATTCGAGTCTCAGGGTCAAGGTCCCCAAGTCAGGGAAAGGCCAGACGGCTGAAAACAGGAAAGTGTCAAGTCGGGTACCGTCAGGCCACAAGGGTCGAAATTTGACCAGTACCCGGCCCTCAAGTTAAGTCCCACAGTCAAAATGCAGCAGCGAACGGTTTTCACCCTTGCAGAAGCAGATGCAGATCCCAGGGTTCGATCCCTAGACCTAACCTGCACCCGTGTACAATATCGAGTAGACCCCTGTGTGTTTTGAGCCCGCGACCTGTGTTTTAGTAGTGACTGTTGTTTGTCGTACGCCTTGTAGCTGTAGGGGTTCGATCTGTAGATCTGTCAAATAGGGGTTCTGTTTGTGTAGAGGTCGAAACTGCTAGGCTAGAGGTCTGTAGGCGAGTCGCAAGTCCAACTGCGTCGAGTTGGCAGTGCAACCCCGTTCAGTCAGTGGTATCGGTCCCAGTCACACTTAGTCCAGTTAAGCAAGTACCGTGTGGGACTGTGTGCACCGAGGGCCTGGTGGAAAGAGGCAGACCAGCAACCAACAGAAGTATAAATCAAGAGGCAGCGTCCAGCAATTCATTCATTCTGCTGCGATCCATGCGGAAGCGCTGCCAGTGTGCCTTGTGCTAGGTGGTCTGCAGGAAGCCTGAAGTTGAAGTGGGCAGTGGAGAGATAGGGAGGACATAGTCGCTTGTACCGTTGGGTTTAGTAGGCAGCCATAGCTGCGATAGGAAGTACAGTGTTCAGTGTGTGTGCGAGTACGTGTGAGGTGAGAGTGTATGTGTGTGGGATATCCAGGGAGATCCAGCATGAGGTGTGTGTGTGTGTGCGAACACTGCGTTTACAGAGTTGGTTGTAAGGTTGGGCGCTTGGTCGCCATAGACAATCTGATTCGAGTTCGGGTCCAAATTGTATTCTCGACTTGAATATCTCAGAGCTTTGTGTGGGCGCCTGGCGCCAGTGTGCTCATCATCTGTTTGCATGCATGCGAAGTAAGAAAGACAGCGAGTCTGATTGCATTGGTATCGGAGCAGGTTCCCGCTATTCCACGTGCGAAGGTTGCCATCAAGGAGAAGCGCCAACAGGGCGCCAAGTCAGCACGGCAATATCATAGGAGGAGTACCATAGCTGCGCCGATGTACCTGCACAAGAGAACAACAACAAAGAACAGAGAGAGAGAGAGAGAGAGAGAGAGAGAGAGAGAGAGAGAGAGAGAGAGAGAGAGAGAGAGAGAGAGAGAGAGAGAGAGAGAGAGAG